CAGTCTCTTTAACAAATGGTGCTGGCATAACTGGATATCCATCTGCAAAAAACTGAAACAAGACCCATACCTCACACCATGCACAAAAACTAACTTAAAATGGATCAAATACGTAAACATAAAATCAAAACCAATAAAGATCATGGATGAAAAAACAGAGACTATGCTAGGAGCCCTAATATGTGGTATATACACGATATGAACCATAAGCAAGTATGCACAAGCACCAGAAGAGAGACTAGATAAATGGGAACTCCTAAAAATCAAACACACTCATCAAAACACTTTGGCAAAAGAGTAAAAAGATAACCTACAGACTGGGAAAACAATTTTGGCTATGACAAATCCGATCAGTGTCTAATCTCTAAAATCTACAAGATACTGCAAAACCTCAACAACAAAAAGACAAATAACCCAATTAAGAAATGGGCAAAGGAAATGAACAGGCACTTTGCAAAGAAGATATTCAGGTGGCTAACAGAAACATGAAGAAATGCTCACGATCATTAGCCATTAGAGAAATGCAGATCAAAACTACAATGAGATATCATCTCACCCCAAGAAGGCAAGCATTAATCCAAAAAACACAAAATAATAAATGCTGGAGAGGTTGTGGAGAGACTGGTACACTTATACACTGCTGGTGGGAATGTAAAATGGTACAACCACTTTGGAAATCCATTTGGCGCCTCCTTAAAAAGCTAGAAATAGAAGTACCATACAATCAAGCTATACTGCTCCATGGAATATATCCTAGAGAAATAAGAGACGTCACATGAATAGATATATGAACACCCATGTTCACTGCAGCACTGTTCACAATAGCAAAATGATGGAAACAACCTAGGTGCCCATCAACAGATGAATGGATAAACAAATTATGGTATATCCACACAATGGAATACTATGTGATGATAAAGAACAATGATGAAGCCATGAAACATAACATGGGGGAAGCTGGAGGGCATTATGCTGAGTGAATTCAGTCAGTCACAGAAGGGCAAATATTGTATAAGAACACTATTATAAGAACTCGAGAAAAGGTTTAAACACAGAAGAAAACATTCTTTGATGGTTACGAGTGCGGGGAGGGAGGGTGAGGGTTATTTACTAAGTAAATAGTAAATAAGAATTATCTGAGGTGAAGGGAAGGACAGCACACACTACAGGGGAAGTCAGCACAGATGGACTAAACCAAAGCTAAGAAGTTTCCTGAATACAATCAAACCCTTTGAGGGACAGAGTAGCAGGGGTAGGGGTCTGGGGACCATGCTTTCAGGGGACATCTAGGTCAACTGGCTTAACAAAGCTATTTAAGAAAATGTTCTGCATCCTACTTTGCTGAGTGACATCTGGGGTCTTAAAAGCTAGCAAGTGGCCATCTAAGATGCATCAATTGGTCCCAACCACCTGGAGTAAAGGAGAATGAAGAACACCAAAGACACAAGGAAAGCATTAGTCCAAGAGAGAGAAAGGGCTACATAAACCAGAGTCTTCATCAGCTTGAGATCAGAAGAACTAGATGGTGCCCAGCTACCATCAATGACCGCCCTGACAGGGAACACAACAGAGAGTCCCGGATAGAGCAGGAGAAAGGTGGGGTGCAGAACACAATTTCTAGTAAGAAGACCAGACTTAATGGTCTGACTGAGACTGGAGGAACCCTGGAAAGCATGGTCCCTGGATTCTGTATCAGCCCAGAACTAGAACAATTTCCAAGGCCACGTCTTCAGACAGGGATTGGACTGGACTGCAGAACATAAAGTGATACTCGTGAGGAGTGTGCTTCTTAGCTCAAGTAGATAGAAGAGACTAAAGGGGCAGCTTCTGTCTGGAGGTAAGATGGGAAGGCAGAGAGGGTTAGGAGCTGGTTGAATGGACACAGGGAATTACGGGTGGAAAGGAGGAGTGTGCTGTCACAGTATGGGGAGAGCAATTAGAGTCACATAACAATTGTATGTATAAATTTTTGTATGGGAAAAAGTAAAAAAAAAATAATAAAAAGAGAAATGGGGAAGATCTTTTCCATGAATGTAGAAGGCGTGACAGGACTGATGGAAACTAAAAAAAAGGAACTTAAGTATATGTGGAAGCCTCCTCAAACCAAGAGACTTTTTCAAATGATTTATTCAAATGTAATTCTCTCTATGCAGGGCTTGTCCTTGAAAGGATTCTTGTCTTTCAATTGTGTCCTGACACCATTTAAAAAAAAAAAAAAAAACCCTTTGCTGTCAAGACGAGTCCAGTTCGTAGCGACCCTATAGCTCTGGATAAGTTCTAACTCCACTCTCCTTAGATTTTTTCCCTTTGGAGAACAAATGGGTATGGCTCACATGATGTTCATGGGTCAAGGAAGATCATGAGAGAAGACAGTGGAGAGCAACGTTTCCCTGACACTGGGCCAGTACGTTGATGTCCAGAGTTTCTAAAGACGGACTGGTATGAATTTATTTGCAGCAAAATAATCATGTCAAATTTGTAATACCATAAAACTCTAACGAGGGATCAATTCACAAATCTCCCTGTGTCCAAAGTGACCCACGAAACCAATGCACACACTTGTAACACTTAAAGACCCTCAAGGATTTTAACCAGAAGAGAAATACAAACTCAGTTTAATATGCAGATTTTTTATTTCGGTGGACTTTAGAGACTAAGTTCCATGAGAGAAGTGAATGTCATGTGTTGCAATGTATTCCCATTCTTCAACCGAAACCTTGAAACAAGGCTGATGAGTACAATATATTCATTCACTAACAAAAAGAAGAAAATTGAAGTCCTTCTTACCAACTGAGGCTAGGTTCCTGAAGGTTTCCATCATCACATCCCTGTAGAGTTTTCTCTCAGCAAAATTCAGCAAAGCCCACTCTTCCCGTGTAAAGTCCACAGCCACATCCTCAAATATCACTGATTCCTAAAACAGGCCACATATTCTCGATCAGCAAGGTATCATCTTCCTCAATGTGCGCAAAAGACCGGGTAAGGCTGTCAGTGCAGGGGAATGGAGAAATTCATAGAAGGGTCGCACAAGTTTCTGTGTTCTGCTCTAGAGTTTAGCCATCGGCCTCTTCCCTTTGCCGTTTACATTTAAACCCTGACTCTTGGCATCATATCTCACAGATTTAACAATATTTCTAACACACTAAACTTATGTCTACATACTTTGATACCTATTTCTGCCTCAGTCCTCTATATTTATGGTCCAGAACAGACAGAACACAAAGCAGAAGGGAGAGAAATCCTTTACAAAATAAAGGACCTATTTCCACGTTCAGATCATTTCTTTGTGAAAAAAAAAAAACACAATTTTACCTCCTTCCATAAGACCCACCATAACACTCAATGAAACATGAAGCAGGATGAGATCTTAATAACTAGGAAACACTGAGGGACTGGTAGTTTTTCCTTGTGTTCCTCACCAACCATGAGAGGGCTGCGGGCCTGCACAAACAACCAGGTCAACAGGAGGTGACAGGACCACCTGCCAAAAACCGGATATTGTAAGAATTATATATTTTTACATGTCTGTTATCAATTTTTCAAATAACTCAATAGTTGCACTATCATCCTTTCTGACTCACTGAGACAGGCAAGGGGATTGAAAAGTTAACAGAGCTCAAGTGAGAGACAGAGAACACGAGAATCTAGATCTCTGCACAATTCTCAAACTTTTGAGCTAATATTAGTGATCTCTCCACTGAACAAACTTACACCCAGAAACCCAGACAAACATGCTCTAATATTTAAGATGACAAAAATCCATATTTCTGCAAAGGCCATAATAGCATGTCCTTGTGTTTGCTGACCATTAAGAAGAGATTAAGATTCCAAGTTTGTAAGGAAGTTAATTAAAATGCAGAGGGATTAGCAGTTAATTTGCCCAAGAATCCTAAGAAACTTACAAACCAACCCTGTGGAGGTTGTACTTCAAAATTTTCTCACATCGCCAGCCCCTAAAAGATGCATGAGCATATGACTACTTGAACTCTAATGTCTGGAACTGCGTGGGCTGTAGGGTCCCACTAAAGATTAGACTCTGAGAAACAGATTCAACGGATTGGCTCCTACATGAGGTGAGGTGACAAAAGGCTGCTATATCAAACTTCTGATGCTAAAATTGGACTGAAGAGCAGAGCAGCTACAGAATAGGAAGTCTCCTCATGTCAGGGCAGTGGGTGAAGTGAGCTGCCTACGTCGTCTCTAATCGTTTCTGGTATGATGGTGTCACAACAAGCTTCTATCCTCAGGCAAAATCCAAGTCTCCTCCATTGCAGGAAGCCAGGTTATGTATTTCAAAGTCATCAAAAATCCTAACACACATTGCTACAATACATATTAATGATAAAATGTTCCATTTGTTGATCAACTACAATATGGGAAAGGTTTTGGAAAAAGCATTATACACCATTTATAATAACTGTATTAAACACACATTATTTGAAACAGGCTCACAGCTGAGGAAATTTAAGAGATAATCAATGAATCATATGCTCAATGTTGCCCAATTAGAATTTGGATGAGCCAGGGTCAGAATGCAGGTTGATCTGTATTTGAAGCCTAAATTCCTCACAACTCCATTTCTGTTCACATGCAAAGACTTTTATTGATATTCTGGCTGTTATTCTACAATAACAACATAAATGACCTAGTACCTGACTAGGTACTATGGCAACTAGAAAAAGGAAATATCCTACTCAATTCAGACAACATTGAGATATTCCTCCAAGCAAAGTCCTGTGTCTCAGCATAATGCTTGCCTTAAGGCCCTTACCTCTGGGCTCCTTCATTTAATAAAATTAATTTAGGTAAAATTTACACAGAGCCTACTTCATGTGGCCACAGCACATACAGCAGTGAAGAAAACAGAGATATATGAATGCTCATAGATCATAAACTCTACGGGTATGGACAGTAAATAAACAACATAGATTTCAAATGCTCATCAACTTCAACAAGTCCCAATTTAGAGGCACAGGATCCAAAGGGCTCCAGCGACTTGCAAGCCCAGGAGAGGGCAGAAACACTGATTACTCCAAGAGAAGAAGAAAAGCTTGTTAGCAATAGGCTAAACATAAATTGGGACACTGGAAAATTAAAAGCAGCATAAAGAGCATAAACAGAGAAACACGAAAATACATATTAATGATAGAAAAAGAATACATTTATGCTTTAGCATGGAGCTTGCAAGTCATTACTCCTGTCCTCACTACAAGAGAAAATCTAAACAAACTAAAAAACTCTTCTCAGATCCATCAGAGAACTGAAGTCACAGGGTAAACTGCTTTCCCCAAAACTGGAAACACAGACAGACAAATACAGAGAATGACATTTTACAGAAGCAAAAGCCCTGCAGGAGAAGCTGCTGCTGAAACCAGTACTGGGGTAGAAAAACTTAAACTGAACTAATAGCACGAGACTCACACTAGTTATGTTTGAGAGTTAAAAGTACCAAAGAGCCCAGTCATAGGGAGGCCCCCCAACTTATCTGAGTTTTAGCTCCAGGAGCTCTATCAGGTTCTCACTGTGATGACTGCAGAAAAATCCCCTCATGCTTCCAGTAAGGAGAGGGAAAAGTAGCCATTTTGAAATATACCCAAAGCATTCTGTTCTTAAAAAGGGATGCCCTCAAAGAAAACGATTTCAACAGATCTTTAATCAATGTGAGTTTTAACGAGAGTCTAAATGACCTTGAGACAGAGCCCCCACAGTGCTGTATTCTTTACCCGGCTTCTTCCCCTACAGTGTTGTATTGAAAAATCATTTCCTTTACTGCCCCCCACTTCCAGCTTTGCATTTGAATCCTGCTTTTGCTTGCAGGGTATATGTAAACCCCATTGTGCCTGCTTAGTATGATTAAGAATGTTGCTGACGTGACTTGTATGAACTCCCTACTTATAAACCCCTTTAAAAGTAACCTGCCTGCCCTTGGTGAGCAGTCTTGGCAGCAGTAGCTCCGACTGACTCCATTTCCTTGTACAACGAAATAAAGGTGCCTTTCCTGTTCTCCCACCTCGGTCTCTTGTTTATTGGCCAATACGAGTCATGCCGAGTAAGAACCTGGGGTTTCCACCCGGTAACATTTCTGGCGAGCAATGAAGGTACACATTGGTCTAAGTGAAACACTGTCCAAACACTGAGGCGTTCCTCGTTAGGTTTCTCTTTGTGGCTCAGAGAAAATCTGGAAAACAGTGTTCTATTTTGCAAATTTGCAGGGAGAAGTGGTAGCTCCATACCTATTTCATGATATAATTTCTCAATAAAGAATCACAGTAATATTCCTCCACCTGATGCTCTGGCAAGTTAATAAGTTTTATCTAAAACCTGTTATTTCCATTGAATTGAGTTAATTGTACCAAAAATTGCTATATACACTTTTAAAAACTAGAATCCCCATATCCTTGTTTTGTGTGCTATTGTTTGGTGAGTTTATGTGATCTTTCTTTCTCCTTTTGTTCTGAGAGCTTGCTTCTGGTCTAGAGTGTTGTGTCTAAGTTTCTGTCTTGTATCAGGTTGGAGGCTATGGCTGAGAACTGCTGTTTTTTTTGAAAGGCTGTCTTAGAACCTCAATTCTTTCCTCATCCAAGAAAAACTGTCCTGTGTCTGTCTTATGATTTAGATTTTTAGTAGCTACATTGAAAAAGTTTATGTTTAAGTCAATCATAAAAGCAAAGGCTTTCTAAGTAGCTTAAGCTAGATACTATATGAAATGTATTATATTTGAAAAAAAAAAAAAAGGATAATTTTGTCTTAAAACAGTTCCAGAGTATGAAAAAGGATGTAAGCCTAGAAAAAAATTGCTAAAGGCCTTTGGTATTTACTGGGTGGATATAAGGTTGTGATAGAGAAAGCAAAACTGCTTTCCAAGAGAATAATAAAAGAAAAATTAGTTATCTTTTGCCTTTCAAAATGCCTAGATCAATTTAAACGTATGTAAATGAACTGGGATGAATCCTCCAGCCCCCAATCTCACTAGCCAAGAACTGATGGATTCATTTACAAAACTGCTAAAGAGCTTTGGTATTTACTGGGTAGATAGCCTTTCAAACTGCCTAGATCAATTTAAACATATGTAAATGAATCAGAATGACCTAATTTTGTCTTCTACCGTAAGTCAAAAAATAGAGTGGGACAACATCAGTGTACCCCAGCCACCAGTCTCCAAGGTCATACAGCTCTAGGGAAGCTTTTTGAAAGACCCTTTCCAACTAGGTGGAGACCCTTTTAAGACAAAAAGAAAAACTGCTGCTTTACTATAGTTATCAGAAATTGAGTAGATCCCAATCATAAAAGAACTATAAACAAGTTTTCTCTGTTGCAGGGGAAAATTATGAAGCTCTCTCTCTATATATATAAATCACAATGAGACACGCCTGAAATGGCCTCGGAATATGTTTCCAACCCAAGCCAGACACTTTAAGGTTATATCCATATGAATGAGCTGGTCAGCTGAGCAGAGATTTTGTGATTTCCAAAGCCAGTTGATAAAATCTTTAAGGGCTAAAATTAGATTGGGAAAATATGGGAAATAGTAAAAGTTGACTGAAAACATAGAATGTTTAAACAGACTTTCTTTCAACAACAGTTATGTTTTATGATATACAGGCTTAAAATAATTTCTAAGACCTTTTAGGTAACTTATTGACGTTAAATTAATAGATATTTGTCATAATTTAAGCTTATATACTTTTAGTTTTTATGCCACAAGAGAAAGGATATATATATGTGTATATTTGGGTTTCCTAATGAGTGAGTTCATTTTTGCCATTTAAAGAGATGCTATAAGAGGTATGCAACAAAGACAACATTTAAGAAGTTACTAAAAAGAAATTTATTTGATATGGTTAAAAGTTTTATCTGACTAAAGTTTAATGGTTTAATTTATGAGGATTTAAGAGCTTTAACGTTAAATAAAAT